TTTTACTCATATTCATAAAAGTCATGTCTCTATGTGAATGCCGGGATGAAACCCGGGTTCCCAGGATTACTTAAAAAATATCCCGAAATCCCGGGATCACAATTTTCCACATTTTTTTTGCATCCCTAGTATACATGTATTTGATTGCTGCCGCTTAAAGAAATGAAGTAATTGTGTTCAAATTACCACAGCTTTATTAGACTTGGATGTCGGGCTCGAGGTTGTGTATGTACATATGTATGTATGCATGTGGTAAGAATTACAAGCAAAACCCAACCAAAAACAACAAACAAACAATTTTTATAAAAGCAATAACAATTTGTCATAAAAAATACCAACTATAATTAGGTACTCGTAATTTTAGCATGTGTGAAAAAATACTCAAAGCGGAAAATTCTGTGGTAATTTGAAGGTAGGTGGGCGTTTTGAACTGCTTAAAAAACGTATCTAAGTCTATATGTATAAGCAATGGAAACCTTAAATGCATACATATGTATGTGGGAAAAGTGTGTGGTTAAAGCGAGAGAACTCACGGCAAAAACAACAAAGCCTACAAGGTCCTTAAAAAACAGAAAATAATTAGTAATAAAGATTATTTGTACATGATATACTCGAGGCCGGATCTACCTTCACTATACGTAAATATTTTTTCAAAAAGTTAATTTTAACGCCTTTCAAACCAATGAGCCTGAAAGCACGTATTGAAATTTTACTGGTGTCGTTCTCTTCATTACAATCAGCCCTATTCTGCATTTCTGATTACGTTCCCGCATTCCGCTCCGCAACAGTCGTAATTTGAGTATTCTGAAGGCTCAGTTTTTCAGTGCCAGTTTAAACTTAGATTACGTTAAACTAAGTTTAAATTGCAGCTGTTGAATTGAGCTAAATATCTCAGTACTCAGTTCGAGCTTTAAATAAGTTAGCAACCGTGCACGTTTTCCTGGTAAGCTCATCACTCTAGACGTCAAAAAATGTATTCGGTGTGTGTCAATTGATAAGATATGAGATAATTCTAAACTGTGTGCTTTTTTAAAAATAACCTAGTAGAACGTACAATTTCAAAACTCGTTGCTGGATTTGACTAGAAAATTTAGCCTTTCTTCGCTTTGAGTGCTTTTTAGACTGACATTCGTCAATCGAAAGAAGAAGAGGAAGAGCGAAAACATCTTCGAGAATCTGCTGTTTGCCTAGCAATGTGTGAAATCGAAACAAAACAAAAGAAATGTTTGCCACCAAGCTATAGCAGCTTACCAAATAGAATGCAGCTACTGTAATCGTAATCTTGAAGTACATGATTACGGATACCGTAATTGTAGTCCTAAATTTAGATTACAATTACAGTATTTCAAAAATTAAACTCAATTTAATCCTAAATGAATTCTCCTGTGTTTGCATATCTTTGTAATGCAGGTGTTTCATTTATTGAGTACTACAAACAATACCTCATCAAGAATACACAGAAGAGCGAATTCCCCTATTATGATTACAATCTATGTTGAACGATTTTCTGATATTCTGTAGGTTAGGTATAATAGGATTACAAGTATGTAAAATTTATTTGAAATTGAAGTAACACAGTTACACAGCGGCGGCTATGGTGTAGTGGTTAGCAGTGCGCACACTACCATTCCGCAAAGGCCTGGGCCCGAATAGTCACATACGATATTGTACATATTACTCTCACGTAACACCGTTTTCGGATTATGACATACGTGAGCGTACTCTTTATCCCATTCAGCTTATACGACTGACGGTATCACGTAATTATCTTTCGTATGGTTTTCGATCCGTGAACGGATGTTACGATTAACCCTGAATTCAAGCCCGGTTTAACCCAATATCAAAAAATAAAAAACAATAAATATTTTTTTCTAACAGCGGTCGCCCCTCGGCAGGTAATGGCAAAACTCTGAGTGTATTTCTCAGTCATGAAAAACAGCTTCTCCTAAAAATACAATCGCCTTTCGGGCCGTCGTAAAACTGTATGTCCCTCCCCTTTGTGTGACAACATTAAGGCTGGACGGTTAATCAAAATCAAATTTTATTGGAAATACTGCGACCAAGAGTCTGTGTAGAATATTACAACAATTTCAAACAAATATGAGTATTACGTATGTAATCGTATTTCGATCAATCAGTAACGTAATCCTAATAAAATGTAATCGTAATCATGAAAATGTCTAAAAAATCATAGCCCATTATTATTATTAAAATTAATGGGCTATAAAACGGCGTACTCAAAAAAATGCTAACACTTCTGAGAAAAAAGTTTTCAATTTGGGTGAAAATTTTTTAAATTTTTTAAGTCTTTTACAAAGATTTAAAACGTGGGTTTATATGGGTTTTGTTAAAGAATGAACTGTGTTTTAATTGCAAATTCTTGTAAATGAATAATTAAACATAAGTGGCAAACAATATCATTTTGAAATGGGGATGCTATAATAGATATGGCCAACACTATCTATTAATTTTATATAAAAAGAATAAATACTAGTTCAGTGCATTTCACAGTCTTATTTATAGATAATGAAAACAAAAACGCCTGTACATTCTCTTTGAAAACCCCGCGCAATTACCCTTTTGGTGGCCATTATTTCAGCCAGTTTTTCGTATTGCTCTGTATTGATTGTTTTGGACTTTAAATATTACAAAAAAAATCGCAAAAATACGGAAATCGAGAAAATTCATTTAGGGTGACTTTTTCAATCAGGTACAGTACATGTATTTCACTTAATTTTTTTTTTTTATAAAATTTTATTATTAAAACCTGCGAAATTATATTGGGGATCACTGAATCCGAATTGCTAAGAACGTGTGTATTTGACGTATACGTCACGTTCGTGGCTATTAGGATTCAGTGATAGCCTTTTCGTAGATTTTACGAAAAAGCGGACTCCGATGGATTCTGTGATAGCCCTGATTATGTCATATTTTATTATATTATTCTACAATATACATATGTACATACATATTGCATTTTGTTATAATATAATAAACAAATAATTCACGTATACATATATATGTATGTACATATATATTCTCAATTAGTAATACACATAAATATGTCCATGCACGTTAAAGACCCACGATAGTCGGGTCTACGTAACCGGAACGATCCTGGTTTTTAATGCCCGCATCATTATTCATTTATTAAAGGTTTTTTAAGTAGCTATTTTCTAAAATTTGACACTCCCACACACAGGAATATTTTTGAAATCAGGAGAAAAGGGGGAAGTTCCACAAAAAAGGTGTTCATAATAGTGCATGGCAGTATTTGCTTTAATTATTTAATTGGAACCAGCTTAGTTACATCGAATATAACCTCTGATTGATGCGTTGCGTTTGTCTTGGCCAGCTCGAGCGGTTGAACTAAGTTTAAACGACAGGCGTGCACTAAAAAACTGGCCCTTAGTGTTCGGAAGACATTATGCCGCCGATCAGAATATCAAACATTGGTTAACACAGCCGCGATTGGCGATTCGTGCTGGTCGAACTCAGGAAGAATGAAAAGGGCACGAAGCTATTGAACGATTGCGACAGGAACGCGATCTACAACGTCAAATGTCCCGTGACTAAACCGAGCCCATGGTTACGGTTTGCCAATATTATTTTGCGTCAATGTCCCATTCGGAGATACCACCCAAATACCTTCGTTGACTCATTTACCAACACGATTGCGCGCATTACTTTACAGCCACTAGGCAGAATCAATAGGTCTCCACGAATGTCGAAAAAAAACATTTCGGCATTTAAGGGAATTTCGTCTCTTTAGCCTACATTGAATTTCTGCAGTCCAACGATTATAACCCTTTTTTCTGTTGTCGCCAGCGAATGAAGAAACAAAAATTTCTTAAAATTTCAAAAGTAAAAATTTCGCTATCAAAAATTTAAAAATGTTCTAAAAAATTGCAAAGAAATTTGGAAAAGAAATATCACTGTTTTTGTTTTTAGGAGTAGGGTGGGAGTGTAATTGATAAAATTAGAGTGAGAGAAAGTCTTCCTTACAAAGCCTTTCATTAATGTACCATGATGTGCCCGCATATCATCTCGTTATAACGACATTTTTAGATGCTGTGTGGCGAATTTATTCTGAATTAATTTTATGTAATCGATTTGCTGTTTATTTGTTTTTAATTATAGTATTCGCAGAAATGTCTGTTATCCAAGTTAGACAGTAAAAAGTACATGTAAGTAAGAAACATATGAGAGGTATTCATCTAACATCACAAACTGCCGATAAACGTGATCAAATTATTAATTTGTGTGGAATCTATCATTTTATCACACTTATCGGCAGTTTACCACGTTATATGAATACCATTATTAAAACAATTATTACATCCCAGAAGATAATTTAGGTAGCCTTCTCAAGTAAAGCCCTTCTAAGGGCTGAAAAGTGTTTCCTTGCATGCCTTCTAGAAGGGCTTATCCATTTACAATTTACGTGANTGGGCTGAAAAGTGTTTCCTTGCATGCCTTCTACAAGGGCTTATCCATTTACAATTTACGTGAATGCATAAATTTATATATTTATCATTACAAATGAATTTCAATAAATATTTTAAGTTGAAATAACACATATTTGATATAAACCTTAGGCAAATACTTCAAAGATATATGATTTTTATAAATTAAAGAAGCAACTTTAAAAGAAGTCCTCCAAAAAGTACGGACTATAAAAGCCCTTCTGGAAGGCCTTCCATGGATAGCAAAAGAAGAAGCCCTTCAATTTGTGCCACTCCATACAAATAAGATAGGAGAAAGGAATGTGGAGTGGAAGGCCTCTTGACTGTTAGGAAGGCCTTTCGGAAGGGCCTTTAACTCCTGTAATTATCTATTGGGATGAATCTTCTTTCCAAAATTTTAACAATTTAAAAAGAGTTTGAGAGCCCCCACCAACTATTATCCCTAGAGCCTCAAGATTCGTAATCTGTCTTTGGATATACTGGAGTGAATTTTATTATATTAAATAATTCGGATTCCTAACGTACATACATACATAGATTAAATGTACTTTTATTCTATCAAATAATTTGAATTCTTAATGAATTTCATTTATGTTCAGTACACACTTAACAATTGTTTCACTAACGAATTGGTTCAAACACATAAAGGCATTTTTATATAGGAATCTAACATAATATTGTTCACAATTTAACGAACATTTTTGGGTAAAAAAAGGACGAGTTCTAATCTAAACGAGGCTTACACATAAAGCCTAAAGTTCTGCGGAAGAGTCGCATTCGGACAATTTCAGCATCGCACTTTCAGTCATCACCTCAGATATTGAAAGTTGTATTTTAGCTTTCATTCGCTTAACGAATTTAGCATCATCGAGACAATTAAGGCTAGCCGTCACATATTCGCCAAATATTTCGTTCGAACCATTGTTGACGCGGGCTTTTTCTTGTGATATGATGGGTTCGTTTATTCTATTAGACTCGTTTCTTCTATTGCAATCCGCCGAATTGTTAAAGTCCTCTGAATTTTTGTACTTTTCTGTTCTGTTTAACTCTTCTGAATTATAGCACTCATCTTCTTCGTTCAGCTCTTCTGTTTTATAGATCTCATCTGTTCTACTAACCTCATCCATTAAGGGGTCAAAGGATGTCGATGATTCCTCGTACTCTACCGCGCGCCTGATTCTTTTTGAAGGAGTTCCTTCGACAGGAACACATGATTCCGCCATAAAGAGCAAGGCGTCATAGTACTCCCACTTGGGTGGATAAACGCGTTTAGCATTTAACGACGCCTTCAATTGTTTCTTGTGTACTTGCATGAAATTAATGCGCAAATTTCGCAACTTCATGCGCACATTTTCACCCGGAACACCAAGTATATCACCGATCTCCTCGTAAGCGATTGTTTTATAAATCTTGTTTGCGAACTGGCTATCGGTCTTATTCCAAAGGCATGGCCGCTCCTTTGCTTCCTTTATCAGTCGCGCGATCATTGTACTGGTCCATTCGACCTAAAAAATTAAATTGCTTTTATTGTATACTAGTAGGTTGTGTTACTAAATTGAAAATTTTACTTTTCCCATTTTCAAATAATTTTAGGTAAATTATCGACAAGTAAACAAATAGTTAATGACAGATGCTTACAAACATATGTCTAGGGACACGAATTTCGATATGATACGATACCATATCGATACCTTTGGAATTCGATACCGATATTTTTTACTCGATAGTTTTAAAGCGATATTTTTTGGAATCGAGTACCTAGTATCGTATCGACCAATATAATTAAAAGTGAAAGTACATAACGTCCATTGCGTCACCGCCAACGTCACCGTCAGTTGTCAAAAAAGTTAAATTGGTGTATTCGTATGAAGTAAGTTACATGAACAAAGCTGACGGTGACTGTGAAGCACAAATTAGCTCAACTTTAAACTTCGCTTATGCGTGACAACTATTTTGTGTTTTGTTTACATATCTGAATTTAAATTTTTTCAGTTTGTGAAAATTTTTGGATTTATTGAAATAAGAAATGTAAAATATGATGAAAGAAAAATGCAACGCAATTTTGCAAAGAGTAGCAGCGAGTTTTTAATTTTACGGAAGCAATGGTGTGTAACTTGCCGCATAAGCACCGTTGACACTCACATTAACGGTGACGGTGCCGGCGACGCAATGGACGCTGTGTACTTTCGCTTTAACAATTCTTCCCGATATAAATTCGGCTTTAAAGAACAGAAATTTTTTACTATCGTTAGGATTGCATGTGGCGGGATTTGAACAAGCGGTGTCGGTACTTTAAGCCAACACCTCAATCTCTACGTGTTAAAATAATAAATTGGCGCTTACACAAGATGTTAGTGTTTGGCCAAGCTTCTCCACCGATTTGCTGCGTGCGCCTTGATGTCGTGCCACAAAGGGCGTCCCAACTGTTTTACGCTGACTCTAAACTGCGATTGATTTTTTTTTTATCAGCTGTTTTTCATGGCAGAAATACCTTCGGTATGGGTTATCGAGTCTTTTTATTCCGATATTAATAGGTGCCCGATATTTTTACAGCGACACTTCAAAATTAGTACCATATCGATACTTTCGATTTGATATCGTGTCCCTACATATGCCACGTCTGTGCTGCCAGCGTGTTTAATAGTGAAAAAAGCAATGAACAAAAGCATGCCTGTGTTAACAACTAGCAGCTGCTCAACAGTTGCGAAGGCAAGGCGGCAATTGATGTGTGGTAGTTTGCAAACTTCTGAAATATGTATGAAATCAAATAAATATGTAGCTAAAAACTGCAAAAATAGCTGCGAATATGTTATTTTCATTGGGATTTTTGACACATAAATTTACGGATTTTAAAAAGGCTATAATTTTTGAAATTCGCAACTGTAATAAAATATGCCAACTCTCAGGTGTTTGCTGTCAAAATAAGGATGGGAATTTTTAAATTCTTTAGTTGTTATTAATCGTTATTCATCGACTATATTCAATAATTTTATTGAGTTTGATGCCGTTTTTTTAATGAAGAATTAGTGGGGGAAAACAACAATAATTTATACATGGAAGAAGTTTAAGTGGCTATTTCCTCGACCGCAATCCCCATTTGTGTTGTCTATGGGGGTTTTGACAAACCGCTTGAGGGAAATTTGAGTAAAAATCAAAATTTTTTGATTTTCTGGCCGCCCTGTTGACGTCTGATTAAACCGCTTGCGATGTGGATAGTAAAATCGTAAATTTACGTTCTTTGCATCATGGGCGGTTCTCGATTCATTACCAATAAATGTATCGAAACGAAAAACTATCGAGCCTATCACCGCTAGCGCAACGATAGCAATATCAAATGAAGCGGCAGGAATTTTTAAAAGAGTTGCGCCATTGAGCCTTTTCAAATTTAACAAGTGACTTTTTGGAGTTCAGTAAAATAATTCTCGTTTATACATATTTTATGTAAAGCAAATTCATTGATTCGCAGGCTGATGAGGGAAGTAATTTTGGTAAGCATGTTGGGAATTATTGCGTTATATGCGCTATTATTATTGGATGAAGAAAATGAAAAAAGGGAAAGGAGAACCCGCAGGGCGAGGTAATTACAGCTTTTAAGGAATGCGAATAAATTAATTAATTTTCCCGCCTTGCAGAAATGCCCGCAGGCAAAGACTAGCATGTTTGCGCATCCGAGAAGACCCGTTTCAAATGGAAGAAAGTACTTTCCGGCGGTACTTTCGGCTTCCAAAGACATTATGTTGGGACATTGTCCAGGAGTTGAAGCCGTATGATAAACGCACAAGTAAATATGGAATTCCATTCGAACTTCTAGTAAGTTATGGAAATGTTCATGAAAAAAGATATGCCCGGCACTAAATATGCATTATAATTTAGTTCCTTTCAGCATTACATTACCTTGTTAATGCGTCATATAGAAGATGGGTAGGAAATAGTCCTTTTTCAGCCACAAATCGCCTTGGCGTTCTACGTGATATAAACTACATATGCAGACTTGTAGTTAATCACAAACGTGAGGAGATAAGCTTTCCCAAAAGTACCGATGAGTACGACAGCATTAAGAAAGGGTAAGCTTGGATCTACTTTTCCATACATACAGTGAGGCAAAAAAAAAATAGGAACGTAATATTTTAACAAACTGCCTATTTTTCTTTTGGTTATGTAATATTTATTATTTTTTATAAAGGCATAGCTCATTATCCAGCATAAACCATATACATAAATTCATATTTCAAACTTAATTTAAAAATTATAAAATTTCTGCAAAATTGCATCTATATTTTAGATTTGAATATTTTTTTTGATTATACAGTTTTTTAGCCTATTAAATTCTGGTATAATAAAATGCAAGTTTGAAGTTGCCAAAAAATCGTGTTGATTTTTGACATTTTTTCTGATTGATACGCATTTTTTCCAAAAAAAAAAATTGTCGAACATACGTGACAAAAATCGCCAAAAATTTGCGATTTTTTATTTCACTATGATTATACTAACAGACATAAATTCTGCAATATTAATAAAATGCAAGTTTGAAGTTGCTAAAAAATCGCTTTACTTTTTGATATTTTTTCTGATAGATACGCATTTTTTTCTATAGAAAAAAAAATTTCGAACATACGTGACTAAAATCGAGAAAAAGCTGCCATTTTTTATTTCACTATGATTAAATCTACTTACATATGTATGTACAACTGCGAAAAAATAAATAGGACAACAAACTTAACTTAACAAACTTTGCCTATTTTCTTTCGTTTATTTCATATTTTCATTATCCAACCAAAACCATATAAATTCATATAACAAACTTTGTACAAAAATTATAAAATTTCTGCAAAGTTGCTTCTAAATTTTAAGCTTTAATCAGATTTTTCAAAATTATGTTGATTATGCAGTTTTGTAGCTCATTAAATTCTAATATAATGGAATGCAAGTTTGAAGTTGATATAAAATCTCAATGATTTTTGATTTTTTTTTTTTCTGAATGCTAACGCATTTTTTCAATACAAACAAATTTTGGATAATATCGCTCATTTACTTCAACAGTGTCAAAACTCAAAAAAAAACAACACTCGAGAAAAACGGGTTTAAAGTTTTGAATTTGCACATACTCCCATAGTAAAAATAAATACATACAAAATTGAGAAAACATAGAGGAAGAGGTACCGGTAATTTCTGTCTACTTAGCTCAATATTTCCATTTTTTGGATTATGACACTATTAAAGTAAATGAGCGATATGTACTTTGCCTGGAAGAAAATCCTTGAAAAAGTCACAAAAAATCATTGCGTTTTTGCACAAAGTTTGAAATATTAATTTATATGGTTTTAGTTAGATACTGATCTATACTTACAGTGCCGGACAAAAGTATTGGTACAGTGAAGTTTTCGCAATATAAGCAAAGTTTTTTATTCTAATTTATTTTCGATAATATTTTATCAAAATTTATTTTATTCTGCACCAAAAAATATAAAAATATAATCTCGAAACTTTGTGCAAAACTCAGGAAAATTCAATGGAGGCATGCTAATTTGCAGCTTTTTCTAGAAAAATTCTAAGTATGCAGTTTTATAGCCTGTCAATTGTAGTAAAGTGCAACTTTGAAGAAGTTGATTTTTGGCAATTTTTTCACGCAGTTTCTTCCATACAAAGTACATACATATCGCACATAATCTTCAAAAGTGATACAACTCAAAATTTTTCGTTCGTCAGAAAATGCGAAAAACTTTTTCTTATCACATGCTAATAATATGGGCAAGTAAGACTTTACCTTAGGTTTTTTCAACAAATTATAACAAAAATTTGCTCCAGCTTAGCTAAAAGGTAAATACAAGCTCTGTGTAAATTTTTAGTGCATAATTTCAAAAATGCCAAATTTTGAGTTGTGTTACTTTTGAAGATGGTGTACGATATTTTCAACAATTATTTTTTGTTTGGAGAAATCGAGCAACATCTTCCACTAAAAATTTTGCCGAAAATCAACGCGAAAAATTCGCTGCGCCAATACTTGAGCCGGCAATGAATATAAAAAGCAATAAATATTAAATTAACAAAAGAAAAATAGGCAAAACTTATTTAAATGTCGCGTACCTATTTATTTTTTCACGGCTGTATATACATTTGAAACTGTTACCTAACGCAGAACAACCTTATATTTATAGGTTCCATACAAAATTCGGAATCGAAGGCGTTATTGGTGCCATTGCCTGCACTCATGTTGCCATAAAAACACCAGCATCGTCAGTTGCACATCAATACAAGGATGAAAGCGGAAACTATAGCATTGTGGTTGAAGCGGTAAGAATTGAAAACACATTGCTGAGACTTCATATTAAAATTCATTTAAACCTCAGATATGCGACGATGAACTCATTATACGCCACATAAATACCCGATTTCCCGGCTCTTGCCTCGGTTGCGAAGTATGGACATCTTCACCACCCAGAATAAAACTCATTAATGAACATACTTCTGGTGAAACTAAATGGCTTTTGGGTGATTCTGAGTACCCATTAGAGCCATGGCTTCTAACGCCTATACTAGACGCTAAAACAGAGAACGAAGAGGTTTACAATACGCTACACTTAGAGGCTATATACACTATTAGCAAAACTTTTGCCACACTGAGATCACACTTTCGCTGTTTATCTAGAGGACGT